TTGAAGGAGAGGGTGGGGATTCTTAAGTCCTCTGGGGACTTAAAAAAAAGTTCCCAGAGGCTCCCGCAGTGCAGTCTGCTCATGCTGGTAGGTGGGGGAGAGGCGATGCAGCCACCCCTGCAGTGTGGATGACTGTTCCCACACGCCCATTTGCCAAATCTTGGATCCGCCCTGGACAGAAGAGCACATTTTCCTCTACTGTTGTACTAAAAAGCAACTGAATGTTTTACCTTAGGGGGTGTCAAACACACAGCCCATAGTGCCACTGTATCCAGCCCACCAGGCTACCAGAAGTTGAGGGGCGAGGTTGGAACCAGGGCCTTCTGCAGACCTGATGGACATGAGTATCAGTAGTAGCGGGTGAGTGAGGACTATGCAGATATAACCATCAGTTGTCCTGTGGCTGCTCGGCTCCCCCGCCATCCCTGGTACCCAGCTCTCACCAGACCCCTACACCTACTGCTGGATGTGCCACAGCTGCTGCTGGCCCCACAGATCTGGCTTGATCAGGAGTGAGTTTGACACCCTGTTTTAGCTGAACTTCCCAGAAAATATATCAAGCTGAGGCAAATGCCCAGCAGCCTGAATAGGTGAAGTTTGACAAGTTTACAAGCAAGTGAAAGTGGGGGCTTATAATGGGAAACATTAAGCATCCTTAACTATAAGCACCACTATCAACTCTGCCTAACATGTTTATTCACAAAGGATGTGGGACGAGGACAGACAAATAGGAAACTGGTCTGAAAAGATCTTAGGCTCATGTCTTGTTAAGTCCATAACATTTTCTTTTCTTTTTTCTCTTCCATGTGGAAACCTTTAAGAGTGTTATGTATAAGTTGTTACATTGGCCCCCGATTGCAGGAAGGCATTGGAGGGAACAGCAGACCAGTAGGCTAAGAAGGCTCTCTGAATAAACAAGCTTTATCGTTCTGTAAGTTGAACTCCTTGGTCTTTTGAGAATAACACAATTTCCTTCCATTTTTATCTATTGTTGCCAAAAGTGTAGCTGAAAGCAACATCTGGCACAGTGCACAAAGGGAATTCACAGTAGTATGGTTGAAGAAGAAGACAATAGAGAGTGAATGCACTCTTTTTGGCTATAATAATATGACAGACCTGAAAAGTTAACATACTTCCTATGCCAAAAAGGGCTAAATTATTCTGTGCTAAAAATTGGCAGCTGGCTAATATTCTTCAAAGCCAAGACAGTTTCCCTCACCCTCATTTCTCCCACCTTCCACAAGTGCCATTATCAGCTTGGGAAAAAATATTGCCTTTCTTCTTTCTCTCAGGGTCTTTTCTTTTTCAAAAATAAGCATGGTTCTTTCAATGGGTTATTTCACATTTAAGTAAATTAAAATGGTGGGTAGCTGCACCCATGTCTAATAAGAACTACTCCTTGAAGCCTCAGTGGATCCATTGGAAGTCATGAGGTGCTGTGCAGTGATTTCAGGTAAACATTACCGATTCCTGACCCTGGAAAGGGAAAAGTCAAAGTTCTTTTGGAAATGACACATTGTGACCTGCAGTCTGCTGTAGCACATTAAGTCTGATAAATGATCAGAAACGATGACTAAAACAAGCATCTGAGAGAGAGCAGTTTGGTTAATGTACCCAGCAGTTAACCTTATGTAGTCACATTGCATAGCAGGCTCATTTGGAAGCCATGTATGCCTAGCTAAGAATAAACAAAGTATTGCAGCACCATTAAAAAGTTTTCTACATCTTCCTTCTGTGTTAATGTGGTTCAGTGCTTCTGTCATGAAAATGAACTAAATGGAGAGTTTCCCACACTCTATCACAAAGAGCACACTATGTTGCCTTTGTGATAAAGACATTTTATACTTTCCTGAACACATGCAAGTTCCAGGGGCAAACTATGATTTTTCGTAGCATAGAAGAAACCTGCACCATACAAATAAAAATGAAGTTCTTGCAACTATATGGTTTTTTCAGCCTACCAAAAAGAAAAGAAAAGAAAAATGCACCCTCCCCTTCTCCCCCCTCTTCCATCCCCCCCAACATCCTGGAGCTATTTCATTTTCTTCCACATATTCAAAGTGCCAAATAAAATCCTCTGCCTAATAATTTATCTGTTTTTAATTTAGACACTTATGCAACAAAAAAAAATCACACTAGAGTGAGGTGAGCTATTTCTATGTATTAAGTTCTACAAATGTAAAGATTTCATACAATTTAAGCACCTGTTCTGGAAAATATAGACCCTGACTGCAATCATTCATACCTGAGTAACTTACCTGTCTGAGTATTCCCATTTAGATTCTAAAAACTGTATCCTATTATTTAATGAGGACTTACTTTGTTCTGTATTGGAAGTGTCTATAGGCACCTGGAAAGTGTCAGTGTAAGTGAATGAGCATGAACTTCATACAGGCGATGAATCCTAGTCCCCCTGGCTAGCTGACTCCAAGACTGCCCAAAGGATGGAATCTGTGGTTTGGGCCTTCCTGTTTGTCTCCTGGGAGTAACACGGCCTCCTTGAGTCTTCATAATGGGAAAAGTTCTGTGCCACAGCTGAGCCTGGAAAACTTTTCCAGGGTCTGTGCATTATTTGGAAGGGAGCGGTCAGATGAGATATGAACTACGGCAATCCAGGCAAAGGATCCAATTCTCTGAGATCAAGAAAAAGGAATACATTGTCCCTTGGGGTAACTACCCACTCTCCTACCCATAGAATGGCTTTGTTTCCTTAGGACTATGAAGCAAGCTGTCTTTGTCTCCTCTTTTTCCCTCCAGCTTCTCTGCAGGAGTCTTTGACCCCTGTGTGGAGAAAAAGGATGAGCAAGGATTCCTGGAATCCCTGGAGGAGTACTTGGAGAAGAGCTCGAGTACTTGAACTTTCCATGGTTTTCAGTAGCTCTGATGCTCACAGTGAGAAATACGCATAAAGTCCCTTTCACCTTCTTCCACACTCGCCTGACAAGGCTGAATCTGGTGTGGAGCTTCAAAACTTGAGAGAAATGTGCCTTAACTCCATGTTACATAGGTCCAGGATTTGCTCTATTATTAAACTTTTGCTATAAGGGAGCTACACCTGCAATGAGTTTGGCCCAGCATGTCTAAGTATGATTTTACTTTCATATTAACATGCTAACATGATCAAAATAACATATTTGTACAGTGTTGAGATGTGGTTTCTGCTTCTTTCTTTTTCACTTCAGCTTTATATTTGCAAATCCATTCAAACCCTTTGCATTCTGTTTTGCTGAACTGTTTTTGTGTAGTTTGAGCTTGGCTGGAACTGGGATTTTTTTTAAGTTAGCATCTTAAGTAAAGGAAAATAAACATGAAGTCAGAATTTCCTGTGGGACAGTGGGAGACAGAAAGATCAGATCAGCTGTAAGTTGTTGGTGTTATTTTCCCAGGATAAGCTCTACTTTTTTTACATTATTTATTTATTCATTCTCCATGTCGAAAACGGCTACCATACTTCGTAAAAAGTCCTTGCATTTTTCAAATGCGATGCTTAGAATGAGCTAAAACCATCTTTGGTATAACTGCACTATCAGTCAGTGTTGCATATATACCAGGGATGAATATAACAATTAAATTGTGCCCTTGTCTTACTCAGACAAACAGGTGGGTTAAGTCCTTCCTGAGATATTCCCTAGCTGGTCCGACCCAGACCGTGGTTCTGAAATAAAATGTTTGCCCCTGGAAATTCTCCTGTCTCTGAATGAAAGTGGTTAAGGCAAAGTAAAGAGTGGAGAGAGCCTTGGTTTTGCTCCCTTCCACTCCTCCTCACTGCCTTGACTAGCTAGCCAGACACAAGAGAGGAAATAAAGGTATCCTTTTATAAGCACTACACTATTGATTTCAATAGGAGCCTGAGGAGCTAGGGAGGTTTCTCAGAGTTTCTTCTGGGGCATGCCTTGCCCAGACTTGAGCTTTTATCAACCTGTTTCTAACAGACAATAACCTTTCTACAGACATGTAGGTTAAGTACAGATATTCTAAAAGCCCAAGGCCAAATCAACTCAGTCTTTGCAGGTTAGTCTAAGCTGCTGAAATTAAATGGAAGCAGACATTTACCTTTGATTCAGGAAATGCAGCCATGTGCCTGCAGTGGCTCAGACCAGAAGCTGTGGGGCACTAGAGCACGGCTGTCTGGCACATAGCCACCATGGACTGTGTGTTCGTTTCCTCTTCCTGCTGCCCCTGAGGTCTTTGAGAATTGTAGTCCAAAATCCTAGCAACAGGATGCTGTAAGGTTGCTCATCACTTCCTCTTCCTGCTTCCAGGTGGCTCTGGGACTTCTAGTCCACAGTTGCAGCCAGTTGTAAGTGTGAGCAGGGGCAGGGGTGTTTAACCCCACTCCCTGGCTCCAGACCTCAGCAAGGGTTTTGCCTGGAGGGGAGCAGTCTCCCCCTTCCTGCTCCTGCCCCTGCCTCCCACCCATAGACTGGGCTGTATCCCCAGCCAGGCTTGTCCTCCCCCCTGCGCCTTGTCAGCCAGCCCTTACTGCTCCAGCTAGGGAGCAGAAGGGTGGGGCAACCCTGTTCTCCGGAACAGACAGCCCAGCCCAGCCTAGAGCTGCAAAACATACAGGGATGCTGGGGGACTGTGATTTGACTTGAACCAGGAAGGGGGCTGGGACAGAAGTTTTATAAGCTGGTTTGACTCAAATCTGTTAAGTCTGATACTATATGCAACCGGGTTTATTTTAAACGAGTATCAGCCATTTTGAAACTGGTTTATGTGCACTGAGCTTTTGTTCTATTACAGGTTTAAACCAGTTTCTGATCACTTAAACCAGTTTATGTGTAACTTCTGTCCCTAGCCCCCAAAACACTATGAGATTCTGTTACAGGGACAGTTAAATTCTACAGAATAATAGAGATGCCAACTAGAAGGAGCAGCTACATAAGCAGGCAGGTAGGAACCCCTGCACATCAGGGCCATAAGACAAATTTCTGAAGATCTGACTGCAGTTCTCTTCCCTGTGCTGATTGGCTCCTCTTTTGCTTCCTTCCCTGTCTCTCTGCTTCATCTTCATATTTCCTCTTCTTCTACAACCTGCCTCTTGGTTCCTTTCCTTCCATGTCAGTTTTCCCTTCACCGTTCTTTCCATTTTGTTTATCCTCTCCAAACAATCCTATACTGCTCTAGCCAAAAATAAGGAAAGAATCACCAGTACCAATACTAATGCCTTTACAACATTGTTCACCTTGTTTGTATGATACCCCATTGCTCTATCATGCATATGTCTAATTTCTTAAGGCAATGAACACTTCAAGGCACAGACTGTCTGCTGCTGTGCCTCTGCAATGCCTACCTAACAGGACTTTGTCCATGACTGACATTTAGGCATTGCCATAATAAGTGTGATGAGGCATGAGTTATTTCCATAAAATCCTTCAGAATTTCTACAGGGAACTTAGATTTCATAGATTTCATAGACATTAGGGCTGGAAGGGACCTCAGAAGATCATTGAGTCCAGCCCCCCGCCCCAAGGCAGGAAGTCAGCAGGGGTCATAGGATCCCAGCAAGATAAGCATCCAATTTGCTCCTGAAGGTGTTCAATGTAGGTGCTTGAACCACCTCCGATGGCAGGCTGCTCCAGACCTTGGGGGTGCGGACAGTAAAGAAATTCTTCCTTATGTCCAGCCTGAAATGGTTTTGTAGTAGTTTATGACCATTCAATCTCGTCATCCCTTGGGGCGCTCTGGTGAACAAACGTTCCCCCAGATCCTGGTGGTCACCCCTGATAAACTTATAGGTGGCCACCAGATCACCCCTGCATTGCATTCACCTCTCTTAATCCAGAGCATTTTTCTGTAAATTGAGTTTGGCTCAACATGAATTTATCCCAGCTTTGTTTGGACTGGTCCTGCAATCTGTACTCAGGCAACACTTCCTTTCCTGTTTACAGTTTATAGTCTAGCCAAAGGTATTACTAATTGGGGTACCTCTACATCATACACTATAATGTCAAGTCAAGATACCCAATTTAGCTCAAAGTGACTTAGCTCAGGCGTTGGAAGTATTATCATAGAACTAGAACAGTTGTATTCAACCTCCAGCCCATGGGCCAGATACAGCCCATGGAGCTGTGATCCAACCTGTGGGTCTTCCCACAGGCCTGAAAATTTGATGGCAGGGGAAAAGTGGCAGTATTAACTGCCACTCCCCCGCTGCCAAATTTTGAACCTGTGTGAAGCCCTGAGGAGCAGAAGACATGGCCCTCCATGTGGGGTTGGCTGGTACACAGTCAGATTGGGCATATGGCCAAATTGGGCATGCAGGATCAGGCCAGTGCATGGAGCATTCCGGCATGCAGGGTTGGGACAGTATATGCCTGGATCAGGCAGCTTATGGTTGGATTGACTGAATGGAGTCAGGCTGGCACATAACCAGGTCCAGCCAGTTCCTGTATGCCAATGCCATACAGGATCCAGCCCCACAGACTGACGTCATGTGCAGGATGCAGCCTGCAGACCTGGAGGATTAAGCATCACTGTTATAGAACCGGAAGGTCAGAACAGCTATCAAAGATTATCTAGTGCAAATATCTGCACAAACACAAAATACGCAATTTCTAACCTATCCAGACAGACGACTATCCGTTTTTTCTTGAAAGTCTTCAGTGAAGCAGATTCCATTCCCTCAGCAGCTTGTTAGCTATATTAGCAGTCATATTAGCTTCAGTATCCAGTATTCAGGCCATCTTGCATCTTTCTACAAGGCATCAAATTGAACAATGTAGACTACCAAACAAAATCAATACACAGACTATAACTATGGACTTACGACATATGAAATTTTCCTCTTGACTTCAGTTGACTTTAGATCAGGTTGAAAGTGCATTGAACTGAAAAGGGCAGGGTATGTAGAATGCTATAACTTTAAAGAACCATGAACCAAGCTGTAATACTAAATACACTGACTTGACCTACAGTAACTCCAAGGAAGTCAATAAGGCAATGGAGTTACCTGAGATTTACACCGATATAATGAGCCCAGAATTTGGTCCTCTGTGTGCATTTTGATTAATTTTAAATAAAGTTCCCACCTCAAATGAAACAAGAATGTTATCTGTTTTTATATATAAACTCCATGCTCTTTATTATTTAAAATGTCCAAATTACTGGATGAAAACATAAATAGTGACTGCAGCTGTAGAATTTAATAAAGCCTCAGGTTAGAGCTAGCAAGTAAAAAAAAATGTATATTATTGGAAACTTGTGGTCAAACTTGAAGCTTGAAGGAAATATTTTAGCACTATCACAATATTAAATTGCAATCATTATTTAATTTATCTTCTCTGAAATGACTTAAGGGAAGTGCACCAAAAACCCTATTTACTTAAGCCAGGAAATAAGGCAGTGATCAGCTAGGTGGATGAAATAATTGAAAGCTGACAAGGGACAATATAATGCCACTATTGTAACAGCACTTAGAAGTATTGTTTGCCTAGAAATAAATGTTGCACAGTTTTCATTTCATCAAAAAGGTACAGCAATAAAATGTGTTTCTTTTACTGAATTCCTGATTTTTTTAAATTGAAAAGTATCAGCTTTGGCACATCTGGAGGAAAGGAATGTTTTCCACAATTACCAAGATTTTGAAATATATATATATTTAAAAAATTAAGGAATTCACCATTTGGTACTTCCAGGAGAAAATCTGAACCCCTAGGCAACCTATATATTTCAATTGTCACTTTGAACTTCGGAACAAAGGGGAGACTGTAAAACCAGTTTATAAAAAGTATTATGAGATACCACAACTGGCATTTTTATGACCTTATTAAACTACATCCAAGTGGCATAAATTATATGTAATGAAAGTGAATAGAATCTCTGACTTTATTTTAATATCAGGAGTGTGCTTATTAGTTTGACTTTTTCTGAATAGAAGGAGGGTTTTTTGTTTTGTTTTGTTTTCTTACCTTAGCAGCTGATATTATGTGGAAGTCATAAATGTCAGATTACATTAAATTATTTTTGTTCATAGAATAATATTGCTATTAAATTACTTCAGAGTAATGAGCAATAGCTGTCACTAGTAAAGCTACAGGTGTTAATTTAGATTCAAAGCGTTCCACCTCATTCTGGCAGATGTATTCATTTACCATGGTTAGACATATACACAAGTATTTGCAGTTTATAAAATCTTCCTCCTCTCAGGAGTGATTGTCCAGAACATTTCTGGCTCTTACAATAGCCTATCCTTGCATTAATATAAAAGTTGCTGGCTTTTGCTCAAAGTTAACTCATTTTACTGCCAGTCCTTGCACAAGCCCAAATAGTGTGCTGCCTCTAGGAAGTATCTATGGAAGCGGCTCTCAACTTTTTTAGGCTTAAGGCACGCCTAGATAGCCTTAAGGCACCCTTTGTTAGGCTCAAAACACCATTCAGAAATGCTAGCTCTTAGTTTCCATTCATTTTTGACTACAGAAAAATAATAGAGCAATTCTTCTGTTGCAAAGACCTCAAAAAGACCACAACAGGTCAGAATGTTTTTGACCCTATGGATTCCTATTTCAAATCACTGGGTTTATCTTGTGAATCATGTTCACCCACCTAACTGTGATAATATTGCATGACACCCTGCGGCACCCTTTTAGGATCTCAAGGCACTGCAGGGTGCTGTGACACCTTGGCTGAGAATCACTGGTCTAAAGCCTACACACAGATGGATAGTTGTGCAGGGGGATCATAGGAGCAACACAAGGTACATCTTGTACATTTTTTTTGTGCTGTGGAGTTCTGTTGCAGATTCCTGCAGCTCATCAGTTAAGGAGGGTGAATATGATCTGGCCAGTGTCATGGCTGGGGTGTCTCTGCACATATGTAGAACTGCATTACCCATCTGCTTGGGTTGCTAGATCTGCTGCTGCTCTGCCCCATATACTGTGTAGCAGTGTCCAAACAAAGCCTGTCTGCTTTGGGATACCAGCAGGAGAGCCATGAGAATTCTATTTCCCTGAAAGCCCTTTTATTCAACGTTCGAGCCCCCAAACTCTCAGTGAGAGCCATGCACCGCATTTATTCTTAGCGCTGGCAAAATGCTCAGTGAAGCTGCAATTTGTCCACATACAGACTTCAACGCTTGGAGGTTTTGCTTGAGTGAAGAGTGCAGCCTGTAGACTTTTCTTGCCTCTAGAAAAAATACTTTATCTAGAAAAAGCCCTGCACTGGAACTCTACCAAGGCTAATTCAGAGACTAGCGAAAGGGACTTTCTATCTGTCTACCCTCCATGGCCCAGACAGTCAACCTCACCATGGTGGAGGGCATGACATTCTGGGCAGCCCCAAGCTACTATGGCTTTCCCCTACTTTACACTTGCCCATTGACCTGGCTGGCCACATGAACTCTTTTTTTTCCCCCTATCACCACATCCCAGGACTAGAGGACATAGTACTTCCTGAGGCACAGCTCCTTCTGTAGCTCCCCAAAGTAAAACAGCTTTTCTCTGCTCTCTCCTGAAAGCATTTGGCTAAATGCCACAGTGTGGTCTATACTTCGTAGAAAACAGTAATCATGGGTTGTATTACCTTATAGATGTGTTGAAAATAGCAGAAAGAAAACCAAAGCCTATTCCAAGTGCTGCGGGGGTGGGGCCGAAGAGCAGAAAGGGCATAGGAACAACGTCCCCAGTGCTGATGTCACGAATGAGAATTACAGGATTCCATGTAAAAAGCTGCCCCAGAGCTGGCAGGCAAAAGAATTCAGAAAAAGGTGAAGCTGAAGGGAAAAAAGGAGACATCTAAATGCCAGAAATAACAGACTTTAAAAATCTGGGCAAGAAAATGAGAACCAACCTAAAACAAAATAAAAAATCAGTTAAAAATCTTTTACCAAGACAGAGTAAGTGATTTGTAAGTTGTGGTGGGTGAAATAGTCTCAGTGAAATGCACATCCACTCTAAATCAACACTAAATTATTTTCAGTGTTTTCTTGCATGTTTTACAAATTTTGAAATGTTCAGCTGAAGAAGCTCTTTTCAGCTGGAAATCAATGAGTTGTCATAGCTGTTTGATACAAAAATGGCCAATTCATAAAATTGTGAAAAAAAC